GGAAAGAGGCAACCTCAGCAAGCTTCTTAATAATACAAAATTGGGAGGGGTACTTGATGCACCAGAGGGCTGTGCTGCCATTCAGAGGGACCTCAATAGGCTGGAGAGATGGGCAGAGAGGAACCTCCTGAAGTTCAACAAAGGTAGAGTTCTGCACCTAGAAAGAAATAACCCCACGACCTTGTGCAGATTTGGGATTGACCTTCTGGAAAGCAGCTCTGCAGAGAAGGACCTGAGAGATCTGGTAGACAACAGGTTGACCAGGAGTCAGCAATGTGGCCTTGTGGCCAAGAAGCAAACAAGTGTCCTGGCTGCATTTGGAAGAGTATTGCCAGCAAGTTCAGGGAGGTGATCCTCTCCCTTTGCTCCACCCTTTGTAAGGTCAGTACAAGAGAACAGGGAGCTACTGAAGAATCCAGTGTAGGGTTACAGAGATGATTAAGGGATTGAAGCATATTTCATATGAGGAAAGATTGACAGAACTGGGACTGTTCAGCCTAGAGAAGGCTGAGAGGGGGTTTTGTCAATATGTATAAGTACCTTAAGGGAGAGTGTCAAGAGGATGGGACCAGAGTGTTTTCTGAGGTAGCCAACAATAGGACAAGAGTCAACAGCCACAAGCTAAAGCACAGGAAGTTCTGCCTGAACATGAGGAAAAGCTTTTTGCCTGTGAGGGTGTCAGAGCACTGGAACAGGTTGCCCTTAGAGCAGTCTCCTTCTCTGGAGATGCTCAAAACCCACCTAGGCTTGATTCTGTGCCATGTGTTCTAGGTGACCTTGCTTGGGCAGGGTGTTTTGACTAGATGATCCCCAAAGGTCCCTTTCAACCTCAGTTATTCTGTGCTTCTGTACATTCTATTTTTTTCTTATACTCCAAGTTAACCAAATGATATGACAGAGACATAGGTGTGTTGAATAAAATGTGTGATTTTTAAATGGATATTTAAATCCATTGTCACATTTTGCTGTGACTTTGCCTGTCATGATATGTAGTGAGCTCACCTCAATATTGCATAATGACATACATGCATCTTTTGGTAGATTTTAAGAAACTGGTGCTGAGGCATTGATGTCAAATCATGGAACAAAAATTAAACCTACAATTTCATGTTTCATGTCCCACATCAGGTGTTTGGCATGCAAAGATGTGATTTAATATTCTTTCCAGGTTGATGACCACATCAAGATTTAGAGAGGATTATGTCTCAAATTTTGTCCTGGATCATCATCATTCTGACTTATAAAATCCTTTGGTGTTTGAACTCCTAGCACAATATTTCTTTTAATGACCCTTTTTGAGATCAAAATGTTAACATTTTTAAAATGAGGTAGTAACACTGCTTTTCCTTAAGAGTCTTAAAATCACTTTCTGAACATTTTTCGACCTCTCTGTTGAAAAATACATTATGGAAACTGATGAAAGGAAACTCAAATCCATTCAAGAGTTTTCTCCAAAGCAAGTCCTTAAAAGGCTTGCATTTAACATTTCTAAGTTCTCATACAGTACAGTTGCCTGATGGAAAGTACGAGACAAAATTGAGATGTTATAAACATTACAAAAATAATTTTCTATAATGCTAGTATTCCTAATAATAATAATACTGCATAATAATAATAATAATAATAATATAGTAGTACTGAATTCTGTAACTATTCTACTTGAAATTATATTACTGAAATCTATTTTTACTGATGCAGACTTTTGTGAGTAGATGTTAAATTCAAATGCATTTTTAACCTCATCTAGCATTTCTTTAGAGGTATTGAAAAGATTCGTCCCAAGACTAAAATGGTAGGTTTCTTATCAGTAAGAAAATAAATTAATTAGGCAAAGCATAAGTTCTTTTTACATTTTTGATATATGCATTGCTTCTATGAAAAAAAAATTATACTCACACCAAAAAAAAATCTGTGGAAATTACATACAGTTATTATCATTCACAAATGTCCAGGTGCTAGCAGGACCTCCTGTCTTCAGCCAGTTTGATCTCAGTACAGTAAAGAAACCCTTCCTTAATGGACTCGTCTGAAGAGGCTTAAAAAAAAGAAACAACGTTCCCCTCTCCCCTCACCCTCCCCCAAAAATAAAACTTCCAATGGGAAAGGGTGAAAACGCTCAATTATGTACTTACATTGTTTTATATATTACATGTTTACATATTCTGGCTTCTTACCATGCAACTTGTAAGACCTTTTTAAATTACTGTGGTCAGAACCCCATGGATGTAAAGGATATTGCATGAAGAAAATATATAAGAATATGAGATTTTGTGATACTGTGATGAGAAATAGGTGTATACTGAAGTTTTCATTTTTTAAAAAAATTGAATAGTTGTAATATTTTTTGACACTGGACTAGAAAGGCATTCATCATGGACATCCCCTTCCAAGGCTGGAAGCAGTAAATATGAATGTATACAGTGTTTTGACATTCTGTCTAAGGAGCGATCAAAATAAGGTTGGGAACAGAGATCTCTTCTGTCCTGGCTTGACATCCTCTTGGGTAAGGGTTGTACGCTTTGATTTTTCAGGGGTGTTACACATGTCAATGACTCTTGGGAGTCATTGTCATTGAAACATCTAAAAATCATGAGACTGAACTATGGTGTTCTCTGCTGTATTATTTTGTCCATAGCTTCAGCTGTTGGGAAAAAAAAAAAAAAAGAAAAAAGAAGAAAAACAGACATCTTAGTGAGTATTAAAAACACAGACCAAAAGCACATGGGAATATCTTTCAATGTTCTTCCGATAGGGAAAATACTGTAACTAGATTAAACATTTTTAATTCTCATAAACCTTTTCCCTCTATCTTTCCTAAAGGAATTTCCTGATTTTGGGAACACTGTGACCAAGAAAAGAAAGTAAGTTGGGATCATTTCATGGTCTACCCAGTGTCCTTATGCTTGTCTGTACCTTTCCACCCTTGTTTTATTAATGTGTTTGCCAATGTTGCATTAATTCTCTCAGAGTAGATGCAGTAGATAAATTAAGATTGCAGTTCAAAAGCAAGTAACAAGTTTGTAATGCCCTCCATTACAAATTTCTTTTCCCATGATTTTTTTTTTCATATATATAAAACTTTCTTCAAAAATAATAGAACCAGGAGAGCTAAAATCAAATGCAATTAATCTGAGCTTGGTTTAACCATATGTCTGCTTTTCTGAAAGATTGAATTGCTGGCCTATTTTATAGCAATTTTGTACAATTTACCTGATAATCTTGTGAAGAGTTTTTTTGTGTGTGTGTTTTTAATCCAAATAAAAATCAGGTTAAGCAGGTCAGACTATTTTATCAAGTATATTTGTGACAGCAACATGCTTCACATTCATTCTTAGGAGACAATGTTATGGTTTGGGCTAATGATCAATGTATATAAGCAAGCAGAAGATTTTTTTTTTTTTTTTTTTGGCTAGAAATTGAAGGTTATTGCATTACTGAAGTTGTTCCGTTCAAATGAAAACCTGCCATCACTACCTTGGCATGATACCTCTATTAATAATGTAGAAATTATAATAATCTTATTGACCTTTCCCATAGATATGGAGAAAATGAATAGGGAATAGTCCTCCTGTTTTTTTTTCTCACAGCAGAGCAACAAGGAAATACCCAATGAAGCAGAGCATCAAAAATAAAATTAACAGAAGTATTTCTTTTTTTAATAGTAAAAATCGAATTGTGAAACTGATTGCTCTCAAAGCCAAAAAATATCAGTGGTTTCAAAAAGGAGCTAGTATTAATATAATCAGTTCCATTAAGAATAATGGTTCATTTGTAGCCACCAGCCAAGGAAACCCTCCAGCATGTAATTGCCTGAAGCTGGGAAGTAGATTTCAATTTTTGTGCTCTTCTCCTCCTGCTGATCATTGTCACAGACTAGGGAGTCTCTGCTCTCACCTGGTATAATCTTCTGGCCACATCCTCTAACTCATAATTACTACTATAATTTGTGATTTTTTGTGAATAAGAGGAAAAAAAGTAATTCAGAGGCTAAATCTTTGTGCATTTGGAGATTTCTTTTTCTTCTAAAGTTTAACTTAGTGTAGTCTGATTTCTTTTTCTTCTAAAGTTTAACTTGGTGTATTAACTCATAATCTATAACCATTGGCCACAGATGCAAGCATGAGTTAGCACTGTTTCTCTGTGCAAATGTGCAAAGTGTATTTGATCATTAAAATGTTGTTGTAGGCTGTGAGGACTGTGTTTTCATATGTAGATTTTTGTTTTAGTACATTATTTCATCACCAAATTTCTAACAATTCCAGGACACTGTAGATCGTATCTAAAGAAAGCTATCATTTCTTGTTCTTTCTGGTGGACCATGAGTTCTTCATTCCATAAAGAAGGTCAAATATCTAGTTGCACAGAATGAAAACAGAAACTTTCAGAACTTTTTAAGGCATGTGAGAGTGGATGATTGTGTGAATGAGGAAAGCCAAGTGACTCCATTAAAGTCAGTGAGAAATATATAGCTAAATCTCTGTGCCCTGCTTTGAAGAATTAGGTTGAAACCATCTGTATTTGATTAAATGTACTTTTCTTTTTATTCTGACTTTTATCTAATGGTAAATACTTTTAATTTATTTCAGATCCATGCAGAAGTCCATGTCTGAAAATGAAGCATTTGGTTAGTAACTGTTTAAATCATTTACTATGTACTTGCTAATCTTACAGAGTCAACTTTAATTAAGGAGCTGATTTACTTTAGAGCTGTTGGAGCAAATGCAAAGAAAAGGGTAAATATAAGTCCCTAGTTCTACAATTAAGCTACTGGTATTTTCACCCCTCATCCTACACAGACATTTGTAGTTACATATAAACCAAAATAGTCGAGTCTAGAAGCCAAACTGAGGCTTAATGAACCAATTCTGGGACAGAAGGAGAGAGATATTAAGAATATCCAGAATTTCTTTTTATCATTAAAATAAAAAATTGAAATTCCTCGGCACTATTCAAATTAAGTCCTGCATTTCCTGTGTTAAGCTGGTTTGCTTCAGCTTTCACAACCAAGTTTGTAGAAGAATAAATTCAGAGTTTTTATCAACCCATCCTGATGTAATATATTATCTTCAACATTTATGATTCACTGGGTTATATTTTGTAAATCCACTGTAGAAAATAATCATCAGTTTCTTAAAACATTAAAAACACTATTATTTTTTAAATGAGACTTTTATTTTAACATTCCATTGTTTATTCTTTGGGGAGTCTTTTCGTTGTTGTATCTAGCCCTTACTGAGTAAAAAGGATATTATATCTCTCTGCATCTATGCAGATACATGCCATAACAATATGTCTCACATACCTGAAAGTTTCATGATGTTAAGATGTAATTCTTAAGTCCTGCACTGGGAAGAATTCTCATGCAAAATAGAATCATTGGACTAGAGCACCCCACTTGCAATGTATTCCCAGCACTTGACGGAGTTGACAAGTGCTGTTATAAAAAACATTCTGACATTGTTAGAGTGATACCCAACATTTGAAAAAAAAAAAAAAAGAGAGAGAGAGCACAAGAGCTTTATGGTATCAGTTGAAGTTCACTGAGGAAACAGAAGTATGGTTACCTTCTTCTCAAAGACTAGCTATCTTCTGTTCAAGTTGAGATAGTATGATCCTTAGAGTGTATGTGATATGAATCTGAGTATGTTTAATGCTGTTTCTTACTAAGATAACTGGGTAGCTTTAGTTGTAATGCTAGATGGATATCTTTAGTTGTAAAATTAAGTGTTATTTATATGCTTCCTAGAAGCAAAATAAAGGCACTGATGTTCCATGAGATGCTATGTCTTGAAACCAGGGTTAAGATAACAATCATTTTGATCATGTTTTAGCAATGTCAAATGAGGTATAAGATGGTGGTGAAAGATGATAGAAGTTAAAGTCTTTCCACAATAAATTCCATCCATCCATCAGATTTCCAATATGACAAATCATCTATTCATTTCTGTGTTTGAGCATATGCTACAGTGTTCTGTTGGCCTGTTTGGTTTGCATTCTGATGCTATTTTTACAGACTTTCCTATTATTTCATAGATATGCTATGAATTCAGGTGACTGCTCTCTGCGCTTTTACTTTAGACAGGAAAAATGTGAATGGCACACTTTGGCAGGGGTCCAGGGAGCCAGAGAATGATTCGTACATCAGAAGGCACTGTCAGCTTGAAGGTAATTGCTAAATGTATTTCAGCTGATTTTGCATTTTTCAGAAAGTATTTTAAAGGGCACCTAGGAAAATTCTTCATTTTTCACCAATAATCTAGCAAAATAATTTGTCAAGTCCTTTTGAGATTTACCTTTTCCTTGAGGGGAAGAAAAAAAAAAGTAGTTTAAATAAAGCTTTCCTTAAAACTGGGAAGGTAAGAACACAGTTTGTGAACAATTCACTGTGCTGTCCATGGGCCAAAGAAGACTTCCACTAGAGTGAATTGTCACAGTGGTGTTGTATGAGACTTCCCGACTGTAATGCAAGCATACAGAAGGGATTCTATCCTATGGATTTAACAGGGATTTAATACACCCTTTCCCAGAAGAACAACAGCAAAAACAAAATGGTTTAAAAGTTGAAGATATTCTTACAGCAGGTGCAGATGAGATTTGGCAAAATTCTTCATGCAATTGTTTTTTCTAATTTTGCTTCTAGAGCACAATTTGACTGACCATATTGTGACAACCTTGTAACCAGTATATGGACAGTTGTCACTGGCACTTAAATGTCGACTTTGTCAACAAAGTATCTGTGAGAAATAAGTGAGCAATCACTATCAATAATTAAACATAAACTGGACTTCTGAAGATTAAAATGCTTTGAAAACCTACTTAGCATCGCTCCCATCAATGAAGTTTGTATTTATATTTTTAAAGATCAAGGTTGACCCATTATAATTGCCTTGTCAGACCAAAGTAGACAGAGTTCAGCAATTGTATTATCAGAAACAGAAACCAAGATATACAAGATTAAAGTGGCAGCACCTCTGAACTCTTCTTAAGCCAACCAAGCATTAGATGGGGGAAGATGGCCACTGACTTTACGTTTAATATCTTCTGTACAAGTATTCTAGAAATTATTCACTGTTTAGAGAGTCCACTGTCACATGGTTATGCTAAAGTAATCAGAGAACAGAACATTGGATTTTCATTTGCCTCACGACTTGAAGATAAACTTTACATGGCTTGGAAACACCTCTGAAATAAGGCTGATGATAGGTGAGTGAGGAGTCTCTGTTGGCTGCAGCAATCTTGTGAGTTGTCCTCATGGTTGTACATTTGGGTGATGACACTCTGTGCTTGCAGCCTATTCAACTTTTTAATACACCTCCAGTGTATAGGCCAATTGGTCTTTTAGGAAACTGAACCAGAGAGAAGATGTGAGAGGAAAAAGTAGTGGAACTCTGCTCCTGCAATAAAGTGATGAAGGAAAAAATGGCCGTTAGTGGGTCTTATTGGCTTTTAACGGAAAAGGTTGTAATGATCTCCAGACAAGTCTTATTTTAAACCAGAAGCATTTGAGAATGATTCTTCAAACTACTTCAGAAATTGTCAGTTTGGGGGTGGAAAACAGCTGAATCAGTGAACAAAACTTTTTGACCTTCCTCCAGTGTCTTTTCTACTGGAGTTTTTTTTTTACCCTTTTAAATATCCAAAGCATGCAAAAGAAGCAGTGCACATTTTAAAAGCTGACAAGTGTTGTAATTGAAGGGCAGGGGCCCAGAGGGAACAGGAAGCAAGGCTGGCAGCTAAATAAAAATCTCCCTTTCCCCCACTGCAGTAAAATTATTTCAAGGGAAGTCCCCTTCACACAGTGGTGAAAACCATTGCAAGGAGATTTACAGTGTATCACTATTGATCAAGATAATTTGTCACTATTGATCAAACCTTTCTCCTAACAGAGATAATCCTTCAAGGTCTACAAGTCTATTGCATAATATGAATTCCTGTTAATAAGCCATGCATGGTAGACAGCATAGGCTCTTCTGCTTAGTTCAGTTCTATATTCACAGACCTGAACCAAATCTCACTGAAGGCAATGAAAAGATATTTACTGACATTGGCAGACTTTGGATTAGGTCCTGATGCAGCTGTTTGTTTGTGCAACTTTTACAAAAAAAAAAAAAAAGAAAAAAAAAAGAAAAGAAAAACACTGATAAGACAGCAAAAACATATATCCCACAGTGAATAGTGGGAATACCTGTCTTCACACATGATCCCAAGCCTCAATACTGGATATACTATCAATTTCTAAAAGTAACATGTTGAAAAAGTAGACCATGCAAGTCACAGTCATTAGACTTCCCTGAAAGACTACTAATGAGACCAACAGAGAAAACCTGGCAGAGAAAACAGCTAAAGAACATAATTCTCCATCTTTACTCCACAGTAAAGTGAGGGAAAGCTGGAAGAAATGAACTTTTGAGCTACACTCTTTTGAATGTTGTTTTGCCCAAGTAACCCATTCTGCACAACAGTGGATTGGAGACCTCAGGCAGAGTCAGAGAGTACTGCTGATGCATGTCAGGGTGGTAAAGGAGATCATGGCTGGAGGTGAAAGTGCGTCACTAACTTTTGTTTTTATCAACTTCCTGCTGTTATTTGATTTTTGAATGAAATTACATTAAAATCAGTTTCACTCTATCAAGTCTTCAGGGCTCAGGCCTGAAGACATTATATATCTCTCCATGGTTCTTTATGAGTCAACTGTGAACAGACATAAAATAACAGCCTTTTGCCCTTGTCATAAGAAGGCTTGTGAACCACAGCACTGAACACTGTAAGGCCTACCTTTCAGAGTAAGCCTGCAGAGTAATGAGAGCCACAGCATTCAGAGATGCCTTCAGGAGATCGAAGCAAGTTAGCTTGAGGATCTAAAATGGTCCAGTTATGTTAATCTGACAAGGTATGAGCACTGCTCAGCATAGTTTTATTCCTTGTAGCTAGCTCTGTATGTAATCTAACAGCAGGGTTATCAGATGCCCAACCCTCAATGACTTCAAGGAGATTTGTGATGCTTGCGACATCCTAAAATCTGGTTACTCGTGTTGTTGGATTTTGGAAACTAGCATACTATCTGGAAAAGCTATTTATGTTACTCTAACTGTTAGGCCTGTAGGAGAAAGATGCCGTCCTCTAAACCTGTAGAAAATCTTGTAGAAGTCTCTAATGGCAAACTTGTAAAATAAAATATTCTGTGACTTATTTTCCCCTTTACTGTTCACAACTTTGTCAAATAAAGGCAATTGTTTGATGGGACTTTCTAGGCATATGACTTAAGGTTTAAAGGCAGAACTAGGATGTGCTCCTTTATATGCCTAATATGTGCTCCTTTATATGTCTAATTATCAAAATTTGACTCGTGACTTTTTAGCCAGCATTACAGTATGCTTTGCAAAATTACCGTGATTATTTGGAGTGTACAATTTTGGTTGAAAAGGATTTTATTTTAAGAAAAATAATAATTATAAGTATGTCTCTTGATTCAGAATTTGCTTTAAAAATAGCATTTAAAAAACATAGGTGCTAATTTGCCTGTACAGTTTTCTCTTAACTGTTGGAGTTTTGTGAGTATAGGTTTTATTTTGAATAGCTCTATACACATTATGGTCTCGTTTAATTTCAACATAGACATTTTGGAAATTGGGCGCTATTTTGCTCTTTTGATAAATTTTCAGGCTCATATTCCAACATTTTTCTTCATATGACTGCTTCAGAAATCTCTGTTGGCCACTTCAAATTATTATCTGAATAAATCTTTTTTTTCTGTTGATTGTAGAGAGAAGATTGCAGTCTCTTCTGGACACAATTAGCCTTTGTGAATACATACACTAAATTAGTTGTGCTTTGAAAACCAGAATTACTGTTATTGTAAGATGTTCCTCAGCAGCAATAAGAATGTCAAGCTGTGATTCAGGAGAGAAAGAAAATCTTATTTGTTTCTATGAACTTTGGAAATGGTAGCCCTTGATGTGGTTGCCAGATCATTTTTCTTTTTTCTTCTGTGGGATAACGGAGTGCCTCTGATATCTGTATTGATGGAATCTATGGCCTACTTCCTCAGTAGCATAGTGGGGGAAAATTTGTCTTGATGGAAATGTGGGGGTAATATAGGGCTTTCAGAGTAGACTTGCTAAAAAGTGGACTTTTTAAGAAGTCATTTGATCTATTATTCTTCACCGTTCTAATAAAGGCTATTATTCTTCCCAGGCAAAGCATTATTTTTTTGAAAGAAGGGAAAGAAAGTTAATTCTTTTAAAACATGTTCATCTGTTGTAACATAGCAGGTTGAGAAGAAGTGTTTGCCAGAAATTCTGGATTAGTAAATTGAAGACCAAGTGCAGATCAAGGAGTAAAACTGAATGAGTTTTATTTATATGAGACAATTTGCAAATTTGCTTTGCAGTTTTCATTGAAAGCAGTCTGAGATTAAATACCTGTTTAAATGATGTCAGATTAACTTCAGAGAGTCATAAAGCTATCAAAGCCCATAGTGAAATTCATAAGATACTCTTCAAAAAAACTTTTAAATGGGACATTTTAAAGCTATTTTTTTCTTTTATTTTTTGTCAGAATTCACAGAGGGCAATGTTACTGGAGATGGATTACATTTTCTGCGAGGAAAAAAGATAGAAGAAACCACATGCCAGGTGAAAGAACTACTCTTCATAAATGAAAATGCCATTCAAATAGCGTATTTCTTGCTTCTGGTCAGTGTGTATTTGCCGAGGCTTGAGTTCACACTCAGCATACCCATGTATTTGAAAACTACATTTAAAAGAAAACTCTGGTGATTACCTGGGTGTACAAAATTTTCATTATGCAAACCATATGGATTTTATTATGAATCTTTTTATTCTCATAAGCAAACGCAATTAATATGCTGTAATTTTATCTAGCAAGATCTATGCTAAGTATTTAGATAGTTTTGTGTGATCCATGTTGGCTTATGGTCCTATCAATGTGCATATGGATCCTTTCTGAATTTATATAAACATATACTGCGTCTCTTGACACTGCTCTTCATAAGAAAACATTAATTAACCTGCTAGTATGTGCAATTAAGGAATTCTGAACCTTGGGTTAGCATAATAATAATAATATCAAAGTATTTAAGATCCCATCAGCTGGTGAGCACTGAGCAACAGAGAGGCAAAGCAGAGAGAGAGAGAGCTGTAGCTGAGGAACTGGAGTGATTGACTTGTTCCTTTCTTTTCACTTTCTTTTCAGTCCAAAGTTTGTCTGGGTAATATGTTATTTATAAGGCCAGTTCTTATCTGTCGCAAATCAGCTTAGCTCTCCTGATTTTGGTAACATGATACAATTTCCTTAGTTTGGGAGTCTGACTAACTGTAGAACTCACACCTATGTGTGTATGTGAGGAGGTGCCTAAATGGGGAATTAATAAGTTATTTAAAAGCTGTTCTGCCCCAGGAGCCTTCTGGATGATTCTTGGTGAAGGTTCTGGAATCCTTTCCCAGGCAGGTGAGAGGGGGAGAAGGAAGAGAGTATACTAAGAAATAAGGTCAAGGATGTGACCTTATGTGAAGGACGTGAAGTGATTTTTTTAAAAACCTCTTAAAGCATTTCCTTAATAACTGTTGGTCTAACTTTAAAAGCAAATTTCTGTTTTCAACTTTCCTAATTATTCAAAGACACTTTTTGGGCCACATCACTAACAATCTGTAGACACTTTGATATCTCCTCACTTTGGTGCCATTTTAGGACTTACTGAGCCTAATTTTTCTTTTTTGAAATGTCATCTCTTATGACACTATATTGTCTTTTGGCAATTATTGTCTCTGTCTTTCATGATCATCAAGGTAATCTTGACAAAATGGCCTTCTAAACTCACAAAATATTCTGATTATTTTCACTTACTCTACTGCATTAGGCACAGAAATAAGAAACTGCCTACAGGACAGTATGATGGAGGAAGCTTTCATACCTTTTATGAGAAATCAACCTAATTGGATAGCCAGTTGAAACATTTGTACACAGCATGGGTAATAAGGAGGAGGTAGTAGAAATCTGCAATACTCAGTGTGATGACAGGGACATTATGGTCTAACTCACATGACTGCTTTGTAGCTGTGGATGAATGTACATATCATAGAATCACAGAATGCTTGAGGTTGGAAGAGACCTCTAGAGATCATCCAGTCCAACCCCCCTGCACACACAGGGTCACCTAGAGCACGTGGCACAGGACTGCATCCAAGCGGGTTTTGAAGATCTCCAGAGAAGGAGCCTCCACAACCTCTCTTGGCAACCTGTTCCAGTGCTCTGTCACTCTCACTGTTCAGAATATTTTCCTTAAGTTCCTGTGGAACTTTTGATGCTTCAGTTTCCGGCCGTTTCCTCTAGTTCTATCAGTGGCCACCACTAAAAGAGGCCAGCACCATCCTCCTCGCTGTCTCCCTTGAGGTACTTGTATACACTTGTATACACTTCTCTCAGCCTGCTCTTCTCCAGGCTGAACAGGACCAGCTTTTTCAGTCTTTCCTCACAGGGCAGATGTTCCAGGCCCCTGATCATCCTCGTAGCCCTGCACCGGACTCGCTCCACATCCCTCTTGTACTGGGGAGCCCAGGACATACGATGTATATACTTATACGATATAGAGTTGCTTTAGGGAGGACAGGCTGAAAAGGCAAGGAAGGAAGTTTCCTTGCCCTTTATACAAGAGAGTGTCAGGAATGCGTAGTGATCTGCCAAGGGTTGGATGACAATCTAGCTAAGAAGTCCTGCGTCAGCACTCGTGGGCAGATCAACATGGGAGGCTTCTGTTGAATGACTGCTACATACCACCTGTTCAAGAAGGTATAGTAGATGAGGCTTTCTTCAAACAGCTGGAAGAAGCCTCACGTTTGCAGGACCTGGTCCTCATAGAGAACCACCCTGATATCTGCTGGAAAGACAACACTGCAGGGTACAACTAACCCAGAAGGTTTTGGAAGTGCATTGATGACAGCTTCCTGACGCAGGTGATGGAGTAGTTGATAAGGGGAGATACTTTACTAGGTGTGATGCTTACAAACTAGGAAGGACTGGTCAGGGATGTTAATTTCTGTGGGCAGCCAAGGCTGCTGTGACCATGAAAAGGTGGCAGTCCGGAGCCTGAGAAGGAAACAAGACAAAAAGCAGGGTCACAATCCCAGACTTCAGGTTAGCAGACTTTGGTGTGTTTGGGAACCTGCTTGGGAGGATCTCATGGGATACAGTCCTGGACAGAAGCGGCTACAGGAGAAGTGGCTAATTTTTCAAATAACGCCAAACTCAAGAACAGTCCATCCCCACTTGCAAGAATCAAGCAAAGATGACAGGAGTCCTATATGGATAAACAAGGAGTTCCTGATGGAATTCAAACTTAAAACAAGGAGTACAAGAGGTGTAAGCAGAGGCAGATGGGTTGAGGGGAATAAAGAGGCATTGTCCGAGAATGCAAGGATGGGTTTAAGAAAACCCAATCTCACCTAGTATTGAATGGTCAGGGAGATGAAGGGCAACAAGAAAAACTTCCATACATCAGCAACGAAAGACTAAGGAAATGTGGACCCATGGCTGAGTGGGGCAGAGAACATAGTGATAAAGGACAAGGAAAAGACAGGTGTACTCAATGCCTTCTTCACCTTAGCCTTTACTGGTAAGATTTGCCCTCAGGAATCCCAGGCCCCTAAGATTTGTGGGAAAGTCTGGAGTAAGGAGGACTTACCCTTCTAGGAGGATCAGATTAGGGAACATTTAAACAACTTGGGCATATACAAGTCCATGAGACCTGACAGGATGCACCCATGAGTACTGAGGGAATTGGTTGATGTTCTTGAAAGACCACTGTCAGTATTTTTGAAAGATCATGATAATCAGGGAGGTTCTGGAGAACTGGGAGAAAGCTAATGAAGGTCAAGAATGTAATTGAAAGTAGTCAGGATGAATTTATGAAGGTAAAACCTGGTCTAACCAACCTCATAGTCTTCTATGACGAAATGACTATCTTGGTGGAGCAGGGGAGAAGAGCAGATGATTTCTTTGCCTTTAACAATGCTTCACATGGTCTAGCTAAAAAGCTAGAGTAGAGCTTAGACAGTGTGTAGTGAGGTGGGTTGTAAATTGGCAGAACTGTTGGGGCTTAGATGGTTGTGATTAGCAGCACAAAGTCCAGATGGAGTCCAGTCACCAGTGGTTCACAGTGGCAGTCAATCCAGTGGACAATATGGTTTAATTTTCATGAGCTGGGTGGTGGGTCAGAGTCCTGGACATACTGGAGAGAGTCAAGGATCATAAAGATGACTAAGAGACTGGAATATGTCTGACATGAGACAACGGACTCAAACTGAAACACAAGAATTCCCTTTTACACATCAGAAAACACTTTTCTATTGTGAGGGTGGTCAAGCCAGGAACAGGTTGCCCAGAGAGGTACGGAGTCTCCATCCTTGGAGATAATGAACACGCTGAGCACCTACTCTAGCTGACCATGCTCTGAGAAAAGAGATTGGCTAGGTGATTTCCAGAGGTGCTTTCCAACCTCAACATTTTATATTTCTAAGACATGGAAGAGACAAGTCTCCAAGAAAAGGTCAATAGAATAAATGACATTTTTTTCTCAAAATAGAAATATGTAAATAAGCTTCTTTGCATCCTCCAACTTTTTAGAGGGAGCTTTACTCCCTCTATATTTCCTAACCAGATGCTCATTTCATTCTGTTCAGCATATAAATACTTGGAAACAGGGCAACTTGGATTGGCAGTGTAGCATTGGAACGGAAGTATAGTTTGAAGCATAAACTTAAACTGTAATAATTGTATGTTATCATAAAAAAAAAGCTTTAGTTTCCACACTTATTTTCATATTCTTGCTCTTCTCTAGCAGGGCTCACTTAATGGCTCAAACCCTTTGTAGCATATTGGGAAAGACATAAAATATGAAGTAATACAGTCTTTGGACTAATACATTTTCAGAAATGTTTCATGCCTCATTTCTCACGTAAATTCTTAGGTTGCATTCAGCCTTCAAAATGTCATTCATATTCATGAAGAAAAAAAGGCTGGTGTTCATTACTTTCACTGATAAGCTATAAGCACTATCAGGCTTGCCCAGCAGGGACTGCATCAGTACCCCTGGGAAAGTGTATTCTCATGGTGTTCCTATCAGGAGGACATTGTGACCAAGAAATGGATTATGGGATGAATGTGCACATATAGCCTTCTCTTTGCTTAGTTCTGAGGATCCTCCCATTTTGTCTGCATTGTCAATCTTATTGAAACTGTCACCCTGTGGTCTCACCATCCCAAGCAAAACGAGGCAAACTGAACAAGAGCCTCTTTAGCAATCCATTAGTGACACTTGCTCATCAGGTGGGCATTCACTCCTGGGGAAAGACATTTGTGACTTCTACTCACCGAGAGAGGAAAACCTCTATTTTTCCAGACCTAGGATGATTCTTAAACATCCCACAAGATAATATATGGTTCTGCCACTGCACCATGTATGCTGTGATGCCTTTAGGATGTGTCAGTCCCACACAATCAAAGTAATAAACATAATTTGACAATGGGTGTCTGCTACTATGGATCGGCCATTGCTTTTAAATGCACGTTGTTCTGTGTTGAAAGATTACTGAGCTCTCAAACTGTATTCAATAAGATGCTACTAATTATATTTATTCATCATGCTAACGTTGGGTTTTGCTTATTTTTCTTGCCATCTAGGTGATAAATTACGAGCAGTGGATTCCACCACGAGTTCAGAGTCCAAGTGTGGCTAGTAATGGTGAAATGGTATGTTGCCATGAAAGCTTCTTTTGCCATCACTGTCTAGCAGCTTGGAAGAACACACTGTTTAACAGCATTTCCTTTACTATATATTACTTTCTGAAAAGCTGGTCTCTATCCAGGTCCATGTCCACCATGACATTTTTTTATCTCATAGAATATTTTATTATTGGTATGGGACTCCCAGGAGCAAATCTACCTATAATCCTACCCTACTTAGTTTGGCTCTGAAGTTATTTTTGAGTACATGGACTACCAGACTAAAATAATGGCAACAGTTAAAGGTCACACTCAGATGTATGGGCATCTGAGAAGAATGAAAGAAGTTTACAAAGTATTTGTCTACATACAGTTGACTGTGACCATAGTGACATTTTAATATCAAATTTATCCCAAACCAGTGCATTTTACAGAACTAACTTTCTGTATAAATGGAGTAGAAAGTTGTCTATCGTTTTCTATTTTAATATATTCACAGCGTACTGAAACTTTCTAAATATTTCTATGGTACAACAGCCCTATAGACACAGTAAGTATATGGTAATTTTTGCCTTCTCAGTATGCTCTGTATAGCTGATCATAATAAAATCACTGCAATTTCTTGGGACAGGCAAACCAGGGGAAATCACAGAGATTGGAATTTGCCATGACAGAAGTGCAAGTACTTCTGTTGAAATTAGTGCAGCTACGCTTAGGAAATGGAGTGCTCAACAAGAGTGCAATTGATGGAATCTGGCCAACAGTGTTTTACACTTATTTTCTGTGGGTTTTTGTTTGTTTGTTTGTTTGTTTTTTCTTTCTATCACCAGATTAATCTTCACAGTATCTCACTGAGCAAAGACTTCTAAGGTACTTGGAGTATTTTAGGATAAACTGCAAACTGATCATCAGACATGATTTAGCTATCTTTTCCTGTTTGCTCATTTTTTAAACACATTTCTTAAATGTGTATTTCTTGATCCATAAATATTCAAACTCCTAATCCAAATTATTTACAAATAATGGACAGCTTGTAATTTATTTTCTTGCACAATTAGTTTTATATTTGTCGTATGTCACCATTTTGCATGGCTGTGACCTCTTATAGCGAGGAAACAAGAATACTGCTGTTTGTTTTAAGGAATTCTTTGCTCATTAAAACAGAAGTATACCTGTAATGTTCAAGTGAGCAAATGCTCATTCCCTGGAACCTAGACGTAAAAAGCTTTTAAATGTCCCCGAAATGAATAGCCGTATGAGTGGAGACATGTTGCTCTGTGCACTATTTCCACAGTGCTGCTTGTTCAGTAACATTCCTGTTCCACAGAGTGGAAGGGTAGTGGGCAGTAGCACACATTGCTATTCCAAACAGTAGCACTGCCTCCATTCTATGGGTAGCTCATACACAAGAGTACCTCTCCCTTCTGTCGTTCTCCAGACAGTGACAACTTAGAGGTACTCACTGCCAAGTAGCAGAAGCAGCAAGTAGAAAAGAGTCTGAAACTAGACCATAACATCTAACAGTTTTTTTTTTTCACTTTTGTGCATGCTTTCAATAGTTGTGGCTGAGGGTTGCAAGGACAATACAATTTATCTGATTTCTACACCAAAGAATGTTTTACCTCTGTTTGGATGTACATCTAAACTTCTGGCTTTGGATATTTAGATAAACCAAAATAAAATTCTGTAAATTTAAAAGCTCTCCCATCACTTACAGATATTGAATGAGCTTTTTTTTCCCCCTCCATTAAAGATGGTTACTTTGTTTATTATTTAGCCACATATGACATTTAAGTAACAAGAGATTCTCCCCAATGAGTGCTTTTAAAACAAAGAGGATTAGAGTTTACCATTAATGAAATTATCTGAATAGATTATCTTTTGTTTCATCTTAATATCTCCGTGATGGAAATCCAGATCATAAATCAAAGTCCTCATGTTACCTTTGTGTAATTACTTATAAATGAATAAATGATTATTGCTACAAGAATTCTCATCTAACAGAGTAATGTTAGCATTTTCACCTTCTTTGATTCATTTTGTAAAGGCATAACACAATAGGAGACTGAAAAAAAAATGTTTTTTCTTGAGGAAGGCATACCAATTTCTATAGGCTGTTAAATCCCCAGACAAGTTTATACTTGGACCAAAAAGTTTTGGTAATATAAATACTTTGTTAGAAATCCTTACAGGCTTTGAAATCAAACACTGAATTATGCAGGGGAGCATCCCACCTATTCTTCCTTAGCTTTCACTATAACTCTGCTTCACTGTTACAGTTTCAATAACATACACAATTGTCTAGCAATGTGAAGTTAACTAAATATACATAAAAATGCTCTTTGCCTCTCTACTAAACCTCTACTAAACAGAATCCTTGTGTCTTTATATGCTCTTTGCCTCTCTACTAAACCTCTGGTCTGCTTACAGAATTCTTGTGTCTTTACAGAAAAATATCTGAACCTTTAGTATACCTTCTCTCCCTTATCATTGTGACTGGGGTGTATATGACTTGCAGTACATGAATGCTGGGGCTTCAGAAGTGCTTCATGCTAAGACTTCGTGAGAAGCCTTTAACCCAGCTGAAAACTGAGGAGTTCAGAATCTCTTGAGATCAAGCCCTAAGCAACCTTCCCAGCACACATTAGGCTGTGCTGGCAAACCTCCCCAATGACTTTGTCTTAAAGGATTATGCATATGAGGAAGCAGGGAAGATCTATGATGTGTGACCTAATCGTTGGGGAGAGAGCAGTGAAGGTCTCTGCACTTCTGCTTTCACTTACACTTAATTGCTTTTAATATCACCACAGACGCATTGCCACAACAGGCCAAATTATTTATGGGAGTGAACAGGTTAACATCCATTGAAACCAGATAGTATTGTGGCAAAAAGTAGTCAGAAACAGAAATATCATGAAATAGGGTAATGGTTTTACTCATCTCAGATATTTACTTCTGTTGTTTTTAAAAGGAAAAAAAAAACTATGCAAAAGGCAGTACATGACTATGGAAATAGCTGTGAAAGTGTGAAATGTCTCTCTGATATTCATAGGGAAATTAAGAGTCATATTGGAAGAGGACTTAAGAATTTCTGGACTGGTTTTCAGTGTAACTACTAGTGTTTTGATGTAATTTGCAGTGTGTGACGTGGTTGCATATTCATGAAGTTCTTAGCTCTAGGAGACAAAACCCAAGCCTTGAGTTTCACTAATAGGATATTACTAGAATGTATAATAACAGTTTGAATTATCATTCACATTACCATCATTCAATCTCAGAAAGAAAATAAGGCCTTGATTTAAGGAAAGCATCTCTCTTTCAGAACACAGTCCTATACAATGACCACATCTGAGCAACATTGGAGTATTAAAGAAATGTAATATGTAAGCTATAATGCAAAGCCTGATCTAAATCCGATGCTTCTTGTGACTTGCCTTTTTCCTTTTTCATACTGGTACATTTCCTTGTTCATACAGTAGATACTGCTTACAAGAACACAAGCAATTTTTAAAGAATTAAAGAGATGATTGATTCTCATCATTTCTCAATCACTAATCCAAAATGCTTTTCGTTGATGCTGAGCTTTTCTGCTTCTCAAAATAAGCAGCGTTACCCTTGTTTTTCATTTGTGAGTTTTAAATACTTTTTGTATCTCTCTTTTTTTGCCAGGGTACAGAACCAGATGATAAAGCAGAGTCCATGGGAACATTAAAACGATTGCAGAAATTGGTCCGAACCAAAAAAACTAGTATGCATAGCATGGAGGATGTCAAACATGTTTTGATTCCCCTCAGTAAGTGAAGCGCTGTAGTAGCATTCTTTCCAACATTTCGCAAATGGCACTGTATTGAACATAACTATGAACAATCCTGTCCTGGTCTGTTATTCACCAACTACAATCTCCAACCCCCAGCTGAGATGTTACTGTGATAGCACTTTAGTAGTGACTTCCTCATAGTGTGAAAACGTGTTTCCTGTCACACTGGCTTGAGTTTTGCAATAGCGTATCTTGCAAGCAGGGATTTAGCTAAATAGACTTGTATAACAGTGCGACCTGTGTGCTGGGGACAATATGTTTTTAGAGTGGTTCCCAGTTTTGTATCACATTTCATATGAGGAAGGCAAAACTCACAAATGCAAAGAAATCATTCAGTATTAATCATTGAGCCAGGAGCAGCTAGGAGTGCAAGAAGGTCTATGGCATGACAAGCAAGTCAGCCTTTCATCATACCCGATTGCCTCAGGCCATAAGACATAGGTATTTTTAACTAATGCTGAACTCAGGTTATTTTCATGAATCTCCTATAGCTCACTGATCTGACTGCGCAGCACTTCTTCATCTGAACTCATTTTGCCAACATTAATTTAGCAGTGCATGTGTTTGATATACAGTGTGTTTGTGTATATGATTATTTTTAAACTAATACTCACAAAATGAGTTCAGACTGCCTAAGGAACTGCTACTCCAACCAAATCATTGTTGGAGTTGAAACATAAAAAAAAGTCAGAGTTTAGCAACTACTTTAAAACTTTCATGTATAGACTGGGAAGGGAGAAGAATTACTCAGAAAAACTTTCTAAACCTTTCCAGTATTTAAACAAAATTCATGCTCTCTGTAAATATTGCAGGAATATGACATTTCCTTAGCAAAATTTCCTATTCACTACAGAATCAATATAGTCTTCCAAGCTTTTGCAGGAACATTACAAATTTACCAAATGGAGAATAAATCTTGCTTTTGGCTCAGGTATCAGACCCAATACATTTTTTTTCCATCTCCCAAATTACGATTTTTCTTTGGGATTTTTTGTTTCTTTTTGATTTTTATGTTGTCCCTGTTTGTTTTATTGTTTACAATGCAACAGAATACATTTAAGAAAAAATGGTATTTTGTGTTAATTGCACCATATTATAACAGAAGTATATCTTTGCATTTTTAAAGATACATTGGAAGATGCTTATCTCTCTGAAGAAGATGAGGAAACACTAACTTCTTGCATGAAACTGTCAAAGCCTCAGGAAAAGAAGATCTGGAAAGACAATGTGAGGAGAAAGGAAGAGACTGAGACTAGGTCAGATTTTATTTCTGCTTCTTTGGGCCGATCTTACACTTCTAGGCTGAACAATTTAGGAACAATTTCAATCCATTCGGAAACTGAATTTCACTTGTGGAGTGACTGGAAGCCATTTCCTGATAACCAGCTCTGTCCTTGTGATTTCTTGATTTCAAAAATAGAAGAATGGGAAAACTGTACTTGTTCTTCTCATCACCCCCATCTTACATACTCCTTAACTGATATGGATCTACAGTACTCCTGGGTAAGTGGTTCCTTTTGTGCTCAAATGACTAGGAGGTGGAAACATTTTGGTCTGATTTAGCATTAAAGGATGCTATCATTTTCTAAGCAGTTATGAAATGCAGTAAACCAAATTTACATTTCAGGTGAATGGACATGACTGTTGTACAGGCTAACACAAGGGGTTTCATATAGTTCTACATCGTTCATTTTCAACCATGTAGATGCCAACAGCATGTAGTTGGAAGACTTTACACCATCCTGTTTCTCATCAGATGCACTATTTTTTTTTAATTATTCTGTACATGAAATACTCATTAAATACTTTTTAAGCCTTCCAATTTAGAAAACTTTCTGGAAGTCTGGGGTAAGGTGAAGTCTGTAAAGGTCAGTGAAACCAATGGGCTTTGCACAGGCCCCTAGAGGTCACTACAATGCTAGCAAAGGACACTGCAGTTATTTAGAGAAATGTCAGAGGTTGAAGAGGTATTGATGTTTCTGCCTTCTTGAATCAGCTCAGCTGGTAGAACCTATTTTTGCAATTATCTTTGTGGCAGTAAGAAGTTCTTGGGGCCAGATGCAAAGGGGCAGAGTTCAGTGTCTATCTGCAGTTATTATTCTACGTAGCTATCTGGAAAAAGCTTTTCTATTTTACTTGCTGGCTCTTTTTAAAGATTTAATTAAAACTAGAATAGCAAAAACAAGAAAAGTCATAGTTGGAGGAAGACACAAAGAGTGAATGCTGCGATGAGACTCAGCAGGTCTCACTGGATGCAGCAGATCTTCTTGCACTCCACATAGTGGTATCCACAAGGAGAGTGTTTGGCTGACTGGAGAATGCCAGGAAAGAGGTAAACATTAGCTTCTTTTCTCTTTATGCCTGTTCCCTTATACTGTGATAAGGGGCAGAGCTGGTTCTCACTGAACAAAAATCCTGGATCCCAGAAACTGAATATAAGTCACAGGAGGAAAGAAATCCGCAAACATCTGCCAGATTCTTCTGTCCTGTTTTGGTATATGCTGAAAATAGGACTTTTTTTTTTTTACATTTTCTCTGATGTATGTGTTCATTAGGAAAGATATGCACACCTAGATCATTGTTGTGATGAAGAAGGTCAATAGAGCAATCACTTTTTTGAATACATGGAGGTAGTCATGCAGCCTTACGAAATGACAAGGTAGGAAATACCTGAAACAAGGGATTTGGCTGGCTGACAGCCCAGCAGATTTTCCTGGGAGTGGATACAGAAAACAGAAAGTCTAAAGCATTGACTAGTGGAACTGTAACTGAGGAGAAAGTGAACTATCTTAAGAATTAAGTTGAGAAGGATGCAGTAGTGAAACCTGGGAGAGATACAGCACTGCAGACTCTGAGAAGCCATCCTTGGGGAGAGAGCTTTGGGGCAGAGTGTTGGCAGAAAGAAGCAATGGATAAAGAGACTGTGCTCTGTTGGCTGAATCTCCCTGTCTGCCAGTAGATAGGATTCTCTATTGAAATAGGATTGTTCAGGGGATAAACTGAGCTCTGCCATAAGCCTGCTCCTAATGAAAGCACTTCTACCATCCCAAACAAAGAATGAAGCCCTGGGGCAAAATAGTAATAATATGGATGTGTGGGTCAGATTTATGAGAAAGTAAGTGTCAGTTCAAACAATTTTATTTCATTTTGTCACAAACAGTCTGTTAACATTCTCTACCCTGGTGAGATTTGCCCTACCCGTGTTAGTATTAAGTGCCAGCAAGAGCTTTAGTGCTTTTTTTTTCTGCATTATTGTTTATTTTGCCATCTGCTTTCCTGACGGGCACTTTGCTCCCTGACTTTAATTTATCTCTCTGGGCTTAGTCTCTGTAGATGTAGATTAGGCAATGGCAAGACATTTCATTCTTTTTATTTGCATTCGACCAAATGGCTCAGTTGAAGATTACAAAGACTGGATTTTCAGTTTTGCTTTTTAAGAATCAACAAAAGCCAACACTGATGATTTTGCTGTGGGGGGCTCAGACATAGAGGATAATGCAGATGTTCATTCTGATGTTGACTTATTTATTACAGAAGAAAAAAATGTGTATTCCTTAATAATATTTCTGATTCTCTAACTAAAGTCCAATTTCCTTTTCTTGCCTGATCTTGGCTTGACTATTATTCTATTGTCTTTGTGCAACATGATGCAGAGATAGCCTGAAGTGGATGCAGCCCTGAAATAAATAGGTAATAAATAGGTATCAGTTCATGACTGATGCAAATTGCCCAAAATAGTAAATGCAAGACTTCAGCTGATTCAAGACTTTCCTATTCCATCAATAAACGAACTGGAGCTGATCCGGTTTTCAGGGAAGAGGAACTCCTAGTTTGGATACACATTATTCAGACTCATCTCAGCAATGTATGCAAAGCTGAATGTAGCCTTAATTAAAGCTCAAATTGCAGATAGTTAATTAAGCTGTGTGCTCCCATTAATCACAAGGAATAAGAGCTGAATCTCTTTGTCATAGCTTACTGTTTAGAGAGACAAAACTGAGTGATCCTAATTCCCTTCTCAAAGTTTTTTCCCCTGACTTCTTTCCCTTCTCCCTTTCTTCCTCCTCAGCACCTTACAAGGCTTTCCTTATGGCCTTTGTTTATTGTACCATGATTGTACCATGATAAAGGATTGAGAGGGAGCATTCAAACTGGTCACCAAACAAGAACTGCGAATACATGGCCAAAAGCCACTTGTCTCTAGCTATAAGACTGAGCAAACTCTCCAGGGAGCCTTCCTCCAACCCCCCATCTTTCACCTCACACACAGTTAAGTACGCGTCAAGATCTGCGTTATTCTGGCTGTCTCTGGGAAAGAGATATTAGAGGCAGTTAAAATCTTGTCCATTCTGGCTCCGGTTTTGTTTTTTTTTTTTTTTTTTTTTTAGGAAACATTTTACAATTCCATATTTCTGTCCTGTAATTAAATACAGAACTAACCGTGCTGTGTTACCATTTTATAGCTGCTGTGCCACTGTTAGCAGCCCTTTGCAAAGTTAACTTAGACATAGGTTGTATTTTTTTGCATTGTTCAGCTGTATAATATAATTAGTGGTTGGCCAAAGCTTTGCTAGGGGCAACTCAAAGCATTGCTTTTCTTTTTGTCCATCAAGATTGCCATGTGAAATTAATGCAATTGGTAAATAGCTCCTTCATAGAAAATGGAATATGTTTAAGGAAAGACTATTTTAGAAAAACAAGAAACACTTGCTCCTAGATAAAGAAATACAATATTGAATATAGCTGCATATTACCATAAAGAACACTGGGGAGAGAAATGAATGATCCAGGTGTTTGTAATGTTATGAATCAGCTGAAAGTCAGACAGGGGATGCAAGAAAAAAACTGTGCAGACACTACCACTTCAACAAGCACTTGACCGTAATGTGAAAGGTTATTGGTTTTGATGCTTCTTTTATTCCTCAATCTATACCCTGCAGAAAATAGGCCATCTGTCTATGTCTTGGACTTCTTTTTATTTTTTATTTTTAATAGTGTTTACAAAAAAAAACTGCTCTTTTGTTAATTTTATGCTAAGAATCTTACTATTCCAAAAAGGAATATACTTAGAAATGCCACGTCCATTTGACTTTTATACAAGCCATTTCAGCCATCTGTTGCCTTTTATAGGTCTCCTCAAATAAGGACTTTTGTATCCTTATATAAGGCATTTAAATCTAGGATTGGAAACTTGGAAATAGGGTCTTGACTGGGCTTGCCTGGCCCTGCAGGTTGGACACAATGAGAGTCCCAACTGAGGGTTTCTCTTTAAAGAAAGGATTCTCAGGCTATTTTCTTGAGACAAAGCAAATTAGCCCTCACTCCTCTCCTTTAGTATTTTAAACATTTAGGAACATGTTACTTCACTAGCTGACCCATCCACTCTCCCTGTGGCTGTGTTATAGGGAAGCTGTGATTGTAGGATGCCAAAATCATCCTTTAGAGGGAGGGAGGAAGAGAGGACTTGGGAAATAATTTCTAGTTGGAAAGAGATAGATAGAGATCTATAGAAAGAGGTTTCTCTCTTCCCACAGTATCACATGGTTAGTTTTAACAGAAGAAATATTTAGTCATTATTACTTTAAGAATGTCTATGTGTTACAGGTTGTACTTGGTATTCAGTGAGAATGAAAAGTGTCTTTCACACTTTCAAGTGTCTTTTCCCAGAATTAGAGGAGATTTTGATGAGGAGAAAGAAAGGTCTCAGGTTGCTGCAGATCAAGATACCTTTATTACCCTTATTACCCTTTTGCAGGTAAGAGGATAGTAGAAAGCTTCAAAAATCAATTGGTCTGAATCCTATATGAATGAATTAGTAGTGGAATGGACAATAAGTTGGGAAAAATCGCAGGTGACTTTCTATGCCAAAACCTTTGTTAATTTGCCCTATGTTCCTGTGAAGAAATGTGTTAGGTCTTCTGATGGTTACATGAGCTCTACTATTATGACCATGGTTCTGCGCAGTTTCAGTGACCATGTGGATTTTGCTCTCCTCCTGGTCTCACTTGCGTTCTTGCTGGACAACCCATCTCTCAGTGTCTGCCTTTGACTACTTAGTAGATGGGGCATAGTTTAGCACTTGGTTCTTTGTCAAAATATTCCTCCCCTCAGTTCTTTTCACAGACATTTCCTTCTCCCAGCTTTTCTGGACATATTCTGTATAATAGGTTCTACTCCCCAGCTTCCCCACAACAGACTTGCTTGCTTTCTATGGTTGCTTATACCCTGCACTGTATTGCCACTTGCTGTTCCTGATCATCTTGGCTCTCCATTTAAGTGCTGTATATCACCCAGAGGTTTGTGTAGGCTATCGGAGCTGCTGTGGCACCTGTGATCAGTGGTTACTCTCTAGGTTAGCGGAGTTGGCAGGGAAGCCTGTCATGAACACACAAGACAGAAAATGCTCTTCTTCAGAAAAAGGTACTGCAGAACAGAAAGGTCCATTTGTCCCCTTCTGCTCAGCCCAGAAAATGGTTAAGGAAAGATTTCTACATCATTTCAGAAGGCAGTTGCTCATGTACACTTTTGGGTTTAATGGACTTTCTGGCTGCTCAGTTTTCTAAAAGCCGTTTGACTGTTTTCTGCCTTTTTTTTTCTTTCCTCAGCCTGTGTCTTTCTATTGAGAGAACCATGTGCATGTCTTAAAAGAGCTTTGCCAGTTATATGTAGAATTCTTATTTGCCGCAAATATAGTACTAATAAGGATGTTTGGAAATCCCCAGATTGCTTTTCTGAGACTTCAAATTTCAAATGTTCTAATCACTCTAGTTAAGTTTCAGTAATAAGTGGTGCTTTTCAAAGCTGTACCTGTTAGTTATTCCCGTTTCAGCAGCAGAATAGGGAGCTACATTTTCACCTAATGTAAATCTCTTGTTCTACTGGTGTTAAGGAAGCCCTGCTCACCCATTCCCAAACTGATACCCAAGGTCTTTCCTAACAGAAGCAAAAGTTTGCAAATCCCGCAATGTGAGGGGAAGAGCAGTTGAAAGGATGGCACTAAACAGTCAGGGCCATGATGATGGATGTTCAAGTAATAGGCTGCAGCTGAGACATGAAAACAGGATTTGGTTTCTAAGAAATGAAAGCGTCTCCAGCTGCCGCTCTATTTCATCACATCTTGATTTACAAGTTCCTGAACAGGTTTCCTGTTGCTTTTTATAACATTCTAACTAAATTCACCTATTAGGTGGATCTCCCCATGGGTCCAACCATCTCAGCCTTTCAGCTTGCAGACTGAGCACCTCTGCTGAGTGCAAAGTGATCACTAGATCCTCAGACTGCAGAGTGTGAATTAATCTAACATAAAGTTAAATTCAAAGGCATTCACCATTTCCCAGTTCTAATCCTGCCCTAGAGCTAGTGAAAGCTTATTAAGACTTTTAAGTCCTATGAGGATGGGAACCGAGATAAATTCATAAGTGTTGTCTGTTGCAGGAAAATGTTGATTAAATTTGAATGGCTTTGATTCTCATACAGGTGAAAAGCCAGGAGCCATGAATGTTCAGAGTTTACTTTTCCTTGAAATACCAAGTGAGGTATGCACTCATGCAGACACGTGAAAACCACTGAACTGAAGATACAGAGCTCTCATTTTCCCGCCTCCATGTCTGTAGAGTCTTACTTTGTCTCCTGTCATTGGCACCCTTATTTAAGAAACTAGTACAGAAAGAAGTTACTATGCATGGCATATGTTGTATGGCTTGCTGTAGTTGTGTACATGAAATGAGTAAAAATCACCTCTTAAAGCACAAGCCTTTAACATTCAAGTTTTATACTTGGGAGACAGGCACCTGGGAGATTCTGATTCACTCTCCACTCTTCCAGCTTCATTACTGTTGCACTGTAGAACTGTGTTGATATTGAATTCCCACCAATAGCCTTCTGTGTCATGCAATAATTTTAGCTACCTTCTGGCATCTTGTGGGTCTGGATTTATATATCTACACAGTAATGTACTGTCTTCCTCTGTAGTGGTTTTGACCCTACAAACTCAATAAAAATATGGAAAATGTGATGCCACTGCTCTTCACCATGCTAACTCCTGTCTATAGAGAATTTTAATACTTCACTGTTTTTTTATAGCTCTCTAGGGAGTGTTATTGCATTTTTCATTAATCATAGCGGCATATATATCTAGCTAGTTCTACTAAGTAGCTTAAAAATCCCAAGCTTTTTCCTCTGACCGTTGCAGGACTGGTCTATACAGTTGGGTTGCTAGCATTTGCTAATATATATAAGGAAGAACAATGCTTGAGGGAATTTATTTACAGTACAAGATATTTTAAAATGTAGCAGCATCATTAATATAATTTCAGATAGCTGGAGAAGGACATTTCAGTTCCTCTAACAAGATTTCATGGTTTTGTTTCTGACTCTAGTTCTTTGGGACCTCTGAGCTACAGATGCAAAGAGAAATGAAAGGTTACTTTGTGTTGCTGTTGTCAATGCATTACGAAGAGGAGATGTAACCATTGGAAACATAGAACAAACTCTATTTCATACCCTTATTGCCTGAATGGCATGTGAATGAATTCACATGCCTAAATCAATTCACCTGCTTCAAAAAATATGACTAAAAGTCTAAATTTTGACTTTTAAATTAAACTAAGTGCAGATGTTGATAACAAGCTGTCTAATGGAAGATGAATTGCTGTTAGCACCCTTTATAATTGCCAAAATGATACACTTTTGTATACCAAAAGAAAATTAGATTGGATGATCTTTACACTTTATTAGTTATCTATGCTTTGAAAATGCTACCCTTCAGGGCATCTGTTTTCAGTTATAATTTGATTTTTTCTTCTTTGTTTTTAATATTAACAAATTTATAAAGAGTTATTGTTTCTTCCCATACATCACGGAAAGCAACATGAAGCATCTGCATCTTCGGTTTATCCCAATAAATGATTCAACTGTAACACAGCTGTGTTTGGTGCTGTGTGACACTAGCATGTTAGCTCCTGATGCTACCAGGATGGTTTTGGCCAATGAAGCCATCATCAATGGCTTGGGATCTGCCTATATGAGACTGCAACTTTTCAAGTGCAATTTGTCTCTGTACACAAAGTAATGCAGTGTTTCTTCTCTATAGATTGACTTTCAAAACTTAAATTTTGGCCTCATCTCATGCTTGTTGAGTCAGTGACAAGTTTTCCATTTATAGTCAAAACGTTTAATCTTCATTTTGCTTGCGTTAGCTCAGTATACCTTCTATGCGTGCTCATCTTTATTCAGGAATATAATTAATCCCAGCTTCAGTTTTCTTCAGTGTACCTGATGAAGCTGAAGTTGAAGTGCTACCTACATTACTAATTCAGTAAGGATTTGATTGAATGTAGGGTTAAGGAAGCCACAGTCTAAGACAACTCAAGGATCCTTGTTGCCAGCCCTCTTAATTTACAGGAATATATAGGTGGTAGGTAGCAGGACATACATCGAGGTCTTATATTCCTTGTCTTCTCCAAGTAATTTAAATTACCTTTTATTGAAAGAACATTCATTTTCTTGAGCTTCTGATTTGGCTCAGGAACTGACTGTGACTGCTTGCTTGTTTTGTGAGTGTAGACTGGGCTAACTATTCTCTCTGTTAAGTTATTTCTGTATGCTTTAAAGTGTTCCTGTAAAGCCTATTTGTGAAATAAGTCTTTCATAAATCAGAAGAAATTAAAGCAATGTTGTTTTTCTGTCCCTCATGTAGAAATGGAGGAAAAGTCACGTTGTATCAGCGCTCAGCAATAGCATCAATAGAAGAGTGTGGATTTTCAGTGCCAGAAAGACATTAAGATTTCCAGTGCTGCAGCATTATTATAATCAATGTGTTTTAAAGTCCAATAAAAGAAGTACTTCTGTTATGACATTCTCCAACAGGGCAAATATATTTTAAGCTAGAGGTGGGTGGGCATGTTTTGCATAATCTCAGACTTGTTTTTAGAAATTGGAAATTTAATTTGAATACTGGATTTTCATCCAACTTTGAAAAAAAAAAGAAATGTAGGCAAAATAAACAAGAATAGTGCTTGAAAAATAAGGTTATAAATGAAACAATGGACACACACCCTTAATCTTACTAGTTAAATACTTTAAAGTACATGAACAGATCATTAGAAATCAGAGATCAGGGCTTTGTACCTGAATATTACCTTTTATTTTGAAAGTAATTCACATATGGTAATGAAATTTCTGGACTGACTTTCTATAGACATTTAACTGATTGAAAAAGTTCACCTTCCCTGATACACGAGCAAAGCAAATTAGAAACTTGAATGTTATTCTTGTTGGAAGTGCTTACACTGTAATCCATTTGAAGCAATCTAGCTGAATATTTTTCGTGAAGGAACCAAATTAATTAGGTTAAATGGCATGAAACTTCTTGTTCACTTCCACTTACAACTTGCATTTTAAAGTATACTACAAGAAATGACAACAAACTGCGTGGGAAGTGGGTAAAGCGAGAATTCAGATAGTTTAAGATCATGAGACAGCCTTCATTGTAGATATTTTTGTGTCGTCTATATTTAGTTCTGGATTGTAGGTGTTTTAATAAAACATGGATTTCCTTTCTCACAGATCATCCTTGCTTTCACATGACCCACCTAAAAATTAATCAACATAGCAATGCAGCAGTACATGTGCCCTCAGTTCTGACAGGGGACGGGGTCTTTAGCTGCTCTGCCAGCTGTGACTGTTCTTGTCCCCAGATACAGCAAACTTATGTCCTACAGCTGGAAATGTACATGTGGAAAAGGTCAAAATCAATTCCCTTTGGATCTTTTTTTTCACTCCAAAAACCTTAAAAATATTTAGAGTCCAGCTCCCCAAACTTCACTTGCAGCTGCATGTGCTCAAACTTTCTGCACATATAACCATAGGACCAAAAACGGAGGAGCACCTGAGGTCAGTGGTCAGCTGCAAAGCAAACATGTTTAAAAACACTTTCTTAGTGTGCACTGACTATAACAAAGAAATACATCCTTATTCCCATACTCCACAGCAGCATTCTGATATCTTAACACTACAAATCATGATCCAGTGATGAAGGATGTAGATAAT